ATGAAATCAAATTCTTAGTCAATTATGTTCAAAGAGCAGTGGTTTTCCTGATAACGTTTTTTACAAGACCCCAAGATCATTCTTGGATAATAAACTATGGCCACCCACAAAAATTCTCACCGCTCACAAAGAAACAAAGTTCATAAAATTACCGTATCTCGGTGATATAAGTTTTACCATTCGTAAACAATTACGTGAAATACTTAAACATCAACAGATCAACTTCAACATTGTCCTTGTCAACCACTATAGTATCAACTCGTTGGATAGAAAAAGAATGCCTCTGCCTTCAGAACTAATGTTCGAATATAGTATATATTTTCAATTGTCCTAGATGTAACGCTAGGTACATTGGGTCATCCACTCGATGGCTCAAACATAGAACACTCGAACATATGGGTAAATCTATCAGGACCAGCCTGAGCAGACCTTCTTTATCTGCTGTTCGTCAGCATTCACACTAGCAAGATCACCCGTTCACTCACAATGATTTTAAAATACTGTCCACAACATCTAAAAAAAAAAAAAATGACCTTCTCTTCTCAGAATCCCTGAATATCCACAAGATGAAACCTGACCTGAACAATAGCACAGCCATTCAATTGTTTACGGTGTAGTTCAACCAACGTAACTAGCACTTCCTCACTTGTCTTTGGTATGTCTCACCCTCGCCCAAGTTTTACTTTTCACTATGTTTCTGACTGTTTCTTTTTTGTTTACCTGTTACCATTTATTTGTTACTCTGTTATGAATTTTTTTTTTTGACACTTGTTCTTTTTATTTTATCTAATTTGTTCTTGCATTCTCTGTTTTAGTCTGATGATGGAGAGATAACTCTTCGGAACGTTACGTAATAATAAGATATATATATATATATATATATATATATATATATATATATATATATATATATATATATGTAGGTAATTTCTACATTACGTCCGCATAACCGATATCGACGATTTTGGTATCGTTGGATTCCTCTCACTCTATACAATGCAAATATGTAGGTTTTATTGCGCAGAAACCCCCCGTTAGCGACAAACTTGGCCCCGATAGCGGGGACGACGATGTCGGAGCGGCAGACGTGATATATAAAATTACCCCCTAATAATATTACCTCAGTGAAAAAATCATGGTTATTCACATGACTTTCCATTGCAGGGGCTGCCGCCCCCAACCCCCACCGAGGAAACGAAATCTCCACCACGTATTCACGGCAGGATAGAGCACACACGAACTAGATGCGGAGCCGATAACCTACAATAACCTAGGATTTTTAAGGTACTAACTAACCTGAATGATTAATGCCGCTAATTAGTAGGGAGGGTGCTCCTTTGCCGCAGAATGTTAAGGAGGCAAGGTGCGTCCGGCAGGAGGTCCTAGGCCGGAGGATACAGCTTTCTCCCGACGGAGGAGGCCGTGGCGGAAGCACATCTTTAGCATTTTTTCCTGGCTAGTTGCAATTTCAAGCAGAAAATCCGTCTCCGAATACGAGCACCCTCCACACTCGGCCATCGCGGCGACTATGACTGACTTCTGAACGCGACGGTTATTTCGGTTAGGAATACGGATGTCGTTATTCTAGTGGACGGGAAACTCGACCTTGAGTCCATCGGTGTAACATCGAAAGAGGCGCAAAACCCGCCTACGAGGGCGGGCCAACCTGTTCATCCTGATTATACTACAATCGTCTCTATATACAATGCTGACTATAATAAGGTTTATTGCTGATTCAGTGAGAATCTTACGAGGTAAATGCAATATGACGCCCGCCGCTCCGACATCGACGACGACTGTGTAACGCTCTAGCCTCCCGGGAATACGTAGTGGTTTTGTTCCCTCGGCGGGGGTTGGGGGGGCGACAGCCCCCCAGGGGGGTCGCAGGGAATGTTATGTGAATAACCATGGTTATTTTCACTGTGCGTTATATTATTAATGCTATTTAACCCCGCATTTTCCCTGGAACCTTCCATGCCCTCCCCTGCTATCGGGGCCAAGTTTGTCGCTAACGGGGAGTTTCCGCGCAATAAAAAAAAAAAAAAAAAAAAAAAATAATATATATATATATATATATATATATATATATATATATATATATTGCAATGTGGAGAGTGAGAGGAATCCAACGATACCAAAATCGTCGATATCGGTTATGCGAACGTAATATAGAAAATTACCATATATATATTATATATATATATATATATATATATATATATATATATATATATATATATATATATATAAAGAGGTCCTCCTTACTTATATATATCTAAGTAAGGAGGATGTTGGGTGAACCCAACATCCTCCTTACCATCATCCATGGCTTCCATTTGTACCTCGTTGATCTTTCCGTCACCGACCTCGACTCTGCTAATGTTGTCGGCTTCGTTGCCGGTTTGTTTACATTTTCTGGCTATCTTTCCGGGCTTTCCTTCATCATTTCGGTAATTTTCTATATTACGTCCGCATGACCGATATCGACGATTTTGGTATCGTTGGATTCCTCTCACTCTATACAATGCAAATAGATAGGTTTTATTGCGCGCTAACCCCCGTTAGCGACAAACTTGGTCCGATTGCGGGGCGACGATGTCGGAGCGCCGGACGTAATATAGAAAATTACCCTAATAATTTAACCTCACAGTGAAAATAACCATAGTTATTCACATGACTTTCCATTGCAGGGGGCTGCGCCCCCTGCGACCCCCCCTAGGGGGGCTGCCGCCCCCCAACCCCCGCCGAGGAAACAAAACCTCCACCACGTATTCATGGCAGGATAGAGCGCACACGAACTAGATGCGGAGCCGATAACCTACAATAACCTAGGATTTTTAAGGTACTAACCTGATTGATTAATGCCGCTAATTACTAGGGAGGGTGCTCCTTTGCCGCAAAATGTGAAGGAGGCAGGGTGCGTCCGGCAGGAGGTCCTAGGCCGGAGGATACAGCGACGCTGCAGCACACAGGAAGTGATGCAACCTCACATTCAGGTGCTGGCTGCCCGCACCTGCCGCAATCTTTCTCACGACGAAGGAGGCCGTGGCGGAAGCACATATCTAGCATTTTTTCTTGGCTAATGGCAATCTCGCGCAGAAAATCCGTCTCGGAGTACGAGCACCCTCCACACTCGGCTATCGCGGCGACTATGACTGACTTCTGAACGCGACGGTTATTTCGGTTACGAATACGAATGTCGTTATTCCAGAGGAAGGGAAACACGACTTTGAGGCCATCGGTGTAACATCGAAAAAGGCGCAAAACCCCGCCGACGAGGGCGGGCCACCGTGTTTATCCTGATTATACTACAATCGTCTCTATATACAATGCTGATTATAATAAGGTTAATATGCTGATTCAGTGAGAATCTTACGAGGTAATACGCCCCCTGCTCCGACATCGACGATGATTGTGTAACGCTCTAGCCTGCCGTGAATACGTGGTGGAGGTTTTGTTTCCTCGGCGGGGGGGCGCAAGGGGGGGTCGCAGTGCAATGGAAAGTGTGAATAACCATGGTTATTATGGAAAGTTATGTGAATAACCATGGTTATTTTCACTGTGCGTTATATTATTAGTGCTATTTAATCCGCATTTTCCCTGGAACCTTTCATGCCCTCCCCTGCTATCGGGACCAATTTTGTCGCTAACGGGGGGTTAGCGCGCAATAATAACTATATATTTGCAATGTGGAGAGTGAGAGGAATCCAACGATACCAAAATCGTCGATATCGGTCATGCGGACGTAATATAGAAAATTACCATCATTTCCTTCGCTTTCAAAAAAGCCCTTTCTTTTGACTTTCTTCTCCTCCATCCTCTCCGTACATGGAGTGATGCACAAGATGTGTATTGTTTGCCTGGTACAATGTTTCAGACTTCAAACTACACAAAGCTAAAGCTGAGCGACGTCCGAACACGACAATGACTTGGACGGTACTGGAGGGAGAGAGAGAGAGAGAGAGAGAGAGAGAGAGAGAGAGAGAGAGAGAGAGAGAGAGAGAGAGAGAGAGAGAGAGAGAGAGAGAGAGAGAAAGAAATAAACGAAAAGAGAGGAAACAGACAGAGAGAGAAAGGGTGGTGAGAGCGAGAGAGAGAGAATAAGTAAGCGAAAGAGAGAATAAGTGAGTGAGAGAGAGAATAAGTGAGCAAAAGAGAGAGAAAATAAATGGGCGAAAAGGAGAGACAGAGAGAAAGAGAATAAGTGAAAGAGAGAGCATATTATGCATGTCTTTATTTATTGTTTTTTTTTTTTCTTTTCTTTTTGTAGGGGTCTTTGGTGTATTGGTGTGCCTGTTTGTGCATTTGTTGTTCTTGCGTACATTCTTTTATATCAATAAAAAAAAATCCATCAAAATTTTGGATTAACCACATATTGATATCACATATTATATTGATATTGATATCACATGCCTGGTCTCACAAATCCTTTTGCACCGCTCATATGCAAAACAAAAAACAAAACAAAAATACCGAATTCCGAATTTATATCGGACAGCATGATTTTATCTGACATGCATTTAGTAATGTTTTTTATCTTAAACTTAAAACATAATTAATCTAAAAAGACCTCCAGACTTTATTTTTTTTTTAAATAAATGTTTGTTTTGCAAAGTGTCTTAGCTTCAGTCGTGAACACCCATTTATTAATGTCACAAATCGAATGAGAATAACTAAGCAGCATTTAATCCATTGCATTAACACATAATCTGGTAAAGACAAATTCTGAAGCTCCTTCCTTTTTCCCTGAACTCATCGACAGTCAGTATCATAAAGTTTCTCCTCTTGTAGAGGGAAACGGTGGGTGTAGCTGATACAATGAGCAATAAAAAAGGTTTTTTTGATTTTTTTTTCTTATAGAACTAGTACACACGAACACCATATAGTTGTGCTCTTTCACTGGATACAACTTGCCCAGTCCTCCAAAAACCTTTTCCTAAAAGAACGTCCCTACTTCGAGTGCGAAAACTGCGCTCGTGGTCGCAGTGTGGTGAGTTAAAAGAACGGCGTCCAATGTAAACAATAACAAAACCGAGATGACACTTCTCAATCCTTATCGAGTGAGACGAAAATTAAACAAATACTATTCATACATTGTATTCCTGCTCGTGGTATGGATTCTCTGGTATGGGGGTGAGTGGTGTCGAGAACCGATAGTCTTGCAGGAGACATTTTATTCAGATAACCATATCGCTATTTGATTTTACAGTAGGGTCTACTTCTCTCTGAATAACTTTATTTTGAGAAAATCTGGATTGTAGATTGGACGTTGTAATGACAATAAGTTGTGGGAAATGATTTGATTACTCACGATTTATAATATGTGATATATAATTTTATTTAGCAAAGAATCATATGACACTTGTTTATATGACTTTATTTTGGAAAATCCAAATTCTTTTGAAAATCTTATTTTATGTTGTTTCCAGATCTGTTTAGCTTTCATTGGCAGAAGCCTTTGGACCCTTTAGATGGCGTTCCAAGGAGTGTGGTCGGGGAATTGATTGAATTGAGGAGGCAGGTAAGGAACTATCTTTTATTGTGTGAATTTATGTGCACAGTTTGTTTTGTATGTGATTAGAAATATATGTATGTGTAGATGAATAGATAGGTAGGTAGATATATGTATGTATATGTATAGATGGATAGGGTAATTTTACAGCTTACGTCCATCACTCGGACATTGACAATTTTGGTATCGTTGGATTCCTAGCACTCTACACAATGCAAATATGTAGGTTTTATTGCGCGGAAACCCCCCATTAGTTACAAACTTGGCCCCGATAGCAGGGGAGGGCATGAAAGGTTCCAGGGAAAATACAGGGTTAAATAACACTAATAATATAGCTAACAATGAAAATAATGATGATAATTCACATTACTTTCTATTGCAGGGGGCTGTGCCCCCTGCGAACCTCCCTGGAGGGGGGCTGCCACTCCCCAACCCCTGCTGAGGAGACAAAGCATCCACCACATGTTGACAGCAGGATAGAGCATTACACAATTTTAAAGGTATTGTAACTTTCCCACTGAAGCAACATACTAACCTTTACATAGTCAGCATTGTTTACTGAGACATTTGTAGTATAATCAGAATGAACAGTAAAGCGGCGGTGGCCCACTCCCCTCGGCGGGTATTGTGCAGCACTCGAGGTTACACCGATAGCCTTGGATGATGGAGTGGAATGATGTACGTACACTATTAAGACATATATTAGAGTCAGCCAGTAGATGGCAGTTATTATCCCATATAGTTACTGAAGTGACTATGTCGCCATCTATTGTATAAGCACATAGCCTCAAGGTCGAGTTTCCCGTCCTCTGGAACCATTGGATCCGTGTTCCTAACTGAAATAAAATGGTATAATTTCCATTCTTCTGGGAGCAATGAGATACATGTTCAAAACAGGTATGGTTCGGAACTGCCTGCCTTTCCGCACTCAGCCATAGCCACCCCAATGGCCGAATGTGAAGGGTGTGCCTACTTGGCAACAAACTTTTTGCATGAGGTCGCCACCAGTCGATATGCTTCCACCACAACCTCCTCTGTCATTAGTGCCATAAAAATCCTAGGTTATATAGTTGGTTATTGGCTCCACATCTATTTTGTGTGCGCTTTATCCTGCTGTGAAGATGTGGTGGATGCTTTGTTTCCTCAGGTGGGGTTGGCAGCAACATCCCCCTTCCCTCCCAGAGGGGGGATTTGCTGCCTCCTGCAAAGCCCCCTGCAATGGAAAGTAATGTGAATTATCATCGTTATTTTCATTGGGGGTTATATTATTAGTGTTATTTAAACCTGCATTTTCCCTGGAACCTTTCAAGCCCTCCCCTGCTATTGGGACCAAGTTTGTCACTATAGGAGAGATTACGTGCAATAAAACCTACATATTTGCATTGTATAGAGTGCTAGGAATCCAATGATACCAGAATCATCAATGTCCGAGTGGCGGACATAAGCTGTAAAATTACCGATGGATAGATAGATATATATGTATGTATAGATGGATAGATAGATATATATGTATGTATAGATGGATGGATAGAGAGAGATAGGCAGATAGATGATGTTTATATACATACTAGGATGCATGTATGTGTGCATAGGCATTTATTTACGTACTGAACACATATAGTTCTTTTCTCAAATAATTGAGATGACTCTTTTCTTATCTATTGATGCTGGAGGTGCTTTATTCATTTTATTTTTATCACCATTATTTTTTACACAGTTCTGCAAGGGCTAAGTCACCAAAGAGCAGGCCTGCTTGGTTTGAGAAATTACTTTAATAATGTTTAGAAAAGAAGTTTTTTCTTATTACTATTAATGTTATGATAATAAAGATGATAATAATGATAATGTTAATAACAGTAATGATAATCATGATGATAATAGTGATGATGATAATGACAGAAACATTTACATTGGTAAAGTTAATGATAATGACAACAGTAATAGTGATAATGAAAATGATAATGATAATAAAAATAATGATTATGTTA